TATATATAAACATTTATAATACATAACGTCTATAACACATAACGTCTATATCTATAACATACATAACACATAACGTTAATAAATATATATAACACATGACGTCTTTATAACACATTTAATAATTATTAATTAATCCAGTAGCCATTGTTGTCAATCATCTGTTTTAATCTAGTCCTCATTGACTGAGATAGGTGCTGGCATATTTCGGGTCGGTCGCGAAGCCTGTTCCATACATCGTTTACGTGCTGGATTAATGCATCTCGAATTCTGTGCTGTCCGGATCTCCATTCCCTGACCATAATTCCCCACAAATTTTCAATGGAGTTTAAGTCAGGAGACTTGCAAAGCTAATCTATTTTTTCCACCTCGATCATTAAACCACCCAGATAACAAAATGCGCGCACAATGCTCTTACAGTGCATTCACGCGTGCAAGATTATCCGCACGCGTGAGTGTCATGCGCATGACAGATGTGTCCTCAATTGAGTGCATATTGCTCGCACACATGCGAACTCACACGTGAGAGTAAAATGCGACTCAGGCGTGCAAGCGATATGAACCTCAAATGAATGAATGAATGAACATTTTATTTTTATTTAAATATGTTTATTGAAATATTATAATAAAATATACACACACGTGTATAATGCATGTTTTTATTTTTTTTATTAAATAAAACTATATAGAATAATTATAATTTTTAAACTGTTTTATAACTTTATAACTTTAAAACTATATTTTCACAACGGTATAATTATAATTTTTATACTATTTTATAACTGTGTGTTTATAAAGATTTTTATAACATATATTTTTATAAATTTTTATAGAGAATTTTAAAGAAAGAAAGATTCCTTACTGAAAAAAATTACGTCACAAAGTTATGTAACAAAATAATGTAATTAAAACGCAATTAGTATATCACAATAAATATCAGTACGTGATTTTAAAAATCATATCCATGATTTGGAGCAATCAGTTATATACTTGTTTTAATTACATCGTTATGTAACTTTGTGAAGTGATTTTTTTTCAGTAGGGTTGTTCAGAATCTTCATCAGTAATGTACTTAGAACTATTACTGTCCTCGTCGGATAATGATGGAGCATCAGATGCAGATTCATCGTTCAATTGATGATGATCTAGAGGGTCCAGAATTTTTGTTTTGTCCCATTTTTTCTTGTAGCGTTGTTTAATCGCTCGCAAAACTTGTAGCATGTGTGTTTTTATTTCATTTTTATCAACGGGTCCTCGAAAGAACGGACACTTTTTAGCTGCATCTATAAAAGATTATTGAAAAATATGACATAATATAGCTTCATAATAAAATCTTGAAATATTAATTTAGGATTTTATATACAACTCGAGAATAAAAGTTCTATATAAATATTTATATAAAATAATTTTATTAACTTGTATAACTTATATAAAATTATATATAGATATATAATTATACATATATAATATTATAAATGACATATTATAGTTTATATTCAGAAATGTTCGGAAAATTAGATTTCAATCAATATTTATTAACATATCTGATGATTAATTGATGAAAGAGTTTATATCATGATCTCAAGCAATACATGTAAAATTATTTGTTTCAAATAAACAGAACCAACTGAAATTTTATTTAAAATTTGTTCGATGTAACTCTTTGAATGATATTGCTGAAGATATCCTACAATTGATTTTTTTCATATTATAGTTTTAAAAACTATACGTATACACACGTATACACACAAAAATTAATACGTCTAATATATAATATGAGAACTGACAGTTGTATAATTATATGTGTATACATCTCCATATAACATACATTGATTATATATTTGTGGCGGTAGAATAGATTAAATGCGAGTAATCATGCACAACCCAAATCAGGTTTATACTTAGAATGATCATATAAATATAAAATTGGAAAAGAAAACTATATTTTTTATTATACATACCTTTAATTTGTATCTGATGGTATAATATTTAAAATTGGAATTATTTCCTATAATGTATAATATAATGGTCAAAAAACGAAATTCCAGTGACTCCTCTTAGAAAACAGATAAAAGAAATAGATCTGTATGTGCGTATTTGTTCCTTTTGTTTTCAACAGGACAACAACTAAGTTTTTGCAGTAATAAACTCGTCTAAAATATAAAGAAATAATTATAAGTTTGGTATACTATACATATATCAGAAGTATTGCGATTTCAATTGCAAATTTCAATAACAATAGAAAAATTTAATAATAGTACATAGTATTATATTATAAAGAATTTATGATGAGAGAGAGAAAGAGAGAGAGAGAATATTTTATAATGTTAATACATGCAAAATATTATTATAATTCCTTCCATGATATCATAGAAAAATTAATAAGTGCAAAGTTTTGGAAATAAATTTAATTCAGAATTAAGAAACGATTAGAAAATCGCGCGTTGTCTTTACAAATAAAAAAGTAATAATTATATATATATATATATATATATATATATTGCAGCGATGATGAGGTTATGTTTTTATGTATAAAAATATGTTTACTTACCAATATGCATAAAAAAATAAAGCGGAAGGATGTATGGTGGCGATATATAGATCATGATCAGCGTTTGGGCCTCATTGCAGCACAAAAGTATAAATCGTAACAATTTATATATATGAATCGTGAAACGCGAGTCGCGTAGTTATAGAGGTTAACGCACAATGTTTTGTAAGATATCTACAGCTTTGAAAAAGGAAGACTGTAAGATATCCCACTGATGATATAAATACTGTAAGGGATTTTTGAATGTAAAGATTAACAGTGATATTTTATTTCACTATTAGTTCGTATATTATTTTACGATTTAGATTTCAATGTTCGTTAGTCTGTAAGCGGGTTCTATGATCAGGATGTCACTGCGTGATAAAGGCTTTGAATAAACAGTCACGTTATTTAAATTCAACGATCACTGACTTTATTCTTAAACACAACTTTACACTGCGCGACTTATAAATCAAAGATAGATTTGACACAATGACGGAACGGCAAGCACATCTCCGAAGAGACTCGAGACTATTAGCACGTATCGATAAACGCAACGGATTACGGCGGAATGTACTTCGATAACGTGTCGGTCGTACTTGTAATTCGCTAAACGATCTTTCGTAACTCGTACTTGTGATTCGTTAAGCTGTTTTCCGAAAACCGTGCTCCGGCGGTCGTGCTCCGGCTTTTTGACTCCAACGTACTGTTGCGAGCGCCGCTAGCGTGATAGCGCAAACAGCGTCAGCTGACAAGAGGTCGCCAGCTATCGGGAGCATGTGCGAAAGGACCGAGGACATAACAACATATTATACCTTATGTCTTACAAGATCATCGATTATCACCAATTTTGGAGAAAACACCGTATCTTAGAAGAATATATTGCTAAATATAAATTCTTATAATCTAATAATTTTATCGAACATATATGTAACATTAAACTTTATAATCACTTAAAAGCTAAGAGTATACTTGAACAAAACGTGAAACTTTTATTTTAAGTATTCACCACATATACATAGATATAATTAAATTTATGATTCATTATGTGATAGCGTCTGATTCAGTTATTGGTCGAATCCAGGGTTTTATTTTATCGGGAGATAGAATTGATTTATACGGCCGTTGAGTTCTATTGAATCCCGGCACATCCGTTACTACGTAACGATTATTTTTAAGTACATCATCAATCATGTACGGTCCTTTATAAGGAGGATTTAGTTTAGCACTTTCTCCTGGTTTCGATTGGAACTTGCGAATCATCACATAATCACCTTTGTTATATTTAGTAGGAACGATATGTCTTTTATCATAATATTGCTTGTTATATTCCCGTAGTTGTTGCGTCGCTTCGGCTGCGATATTTCTATCGACGTCGCGTTGCTTTTGTACATCTAAATCTATATCCGCTAAGTCGTTCACGAGATCTACAAGCGATTTATCGGAGTGATTACGCCGATCATAACCGAAAAATATTTTAGAAGGCGAGTTTTTGATACTCGAATGAAAAGTATTATTCAAGACATATTGCACCTTAGTCAATGTTTTTTTCCAATCTGAAGCTGACTCTATAATTTTTTTGAGTGTCGATTTTACAAAGCGATTCACTCTCTCCACCATTCCGTTAGCCCATGGAGACGCCACTGCAATTAGTCGGTGCTTAACGGAATAGCGTTCGACAAATGATTTGAATTCAGAAGATGTGAATGCGGTTCCGCGATCGAAAATTATTTCCTGCGGTGAGCAAAAAATGTCAAATAGAATTTTTAAACTCTGTTTCACCTCTCTAGCACTAGTAGTCTTCGTGGGGAAAAGCCACGTGAATCTCGTGAATGAATCGATTATTATAAAAATGTGGCGATAGCCATCGTCAGTCTGCTGGAGCGGACCGAAATGATCGATATGCAGAGATGTGAATGGTTCTTTAGACATAGGCTCTATTTGTAATTCACCTTCCTTTGAATGTGACGAAAAATTGGACATTATGCAAGTCAGACAATTGTCGACGTGGTCGGCAACCTTTCGTCGCATTCCTGGGAACCAATAGGTATTCGCTATACCCTTGATCGTTTTTTCGATGCCGCAGTGGGCCATTTCATCATGGTACACGCGTATTATATTTGTGATCATCGCCTCTGGTATTACAAATCTAGGGCAGTCTGCGTCTTTTCGATAGAGCAGGCCATCGATTAATTCAAATCTTTTATTATCGGTGAACTCCAATTCGTTGGCAATCGATTGCAAGTGCGAATCTTTTAACTGCCTAAATTCGAGCTCACGTTCGAGGGGAAGGGCGTCTACGTAAAGTATCGCGCGGCTTAACGCGTCGGCATGTGCCATTCGCTCGCCAGCTCGATGTTTCACATCGAACGTGTAATTTTGTAATGCTAGTGTCCAACGTGCGATTCGTGGGTTCAAGTTGGCTTTCGTTACTGCGTATACTAACGCGTTACAGTCCGTTATTACTGTAAAATTCAGACCGTATAAATAAATGTGAAAACGTTCAATAGAGCGCACTATAGCTAGCATTTCTAGTTCGAAACTGTGATACCGTTTTTCCGACTCGTTGGTAGGCTGACTAAAATATGCTACCGGTTTCCAGTCTCCGGATGACTGCTTTTGTAGTAAAATTCCACCCAACCCGTTGATACTGGCATCTGTGTGCAGTTGCGTTTCCGCACTCGGATTATATAAAGCCAAAACAGGGGAGGAGATTAACTCTCTTTTAATCGACTCGAACGAGTTAATACAATTGTCGGAGAAATCAAAAACAGATGATTTACGTACTAGTTCTCTAAGCGGTTTAGTTTTACTAGAAAAGTCCCTAATGAATTTACGAAAATAATTAGCCAGACCCAAGAATCGCTGGATTTCCAGAACATTACGTGGGCGCGGAAATTGCTTGATCGCCTCGGTGTGTCGTGAACTAATCGTAATTACATTGTGGGAAATCGTATATCCTAAATATTCGATTTCACGCTGAAGAAATTTACACTTATCTAGATTGAGTTCGAAGCTGTACGCTTTCAAGGTGAGCAAAACATGTTTCAAAATATTTAAGTTTGCCTCGACCGTCTCGGTCGCGATCATTATGTCGTCTATGTATATTATTACTCTATTGTCCTCGATAAGCGGTTGAAAAATATTTATCAACCTCTTTTGAAATTCAGCAGGACTTTCACAATAACCAAACGGAAGACGGTTATATTCGAACTGCCCGTCAGGCGTAGCAAATGAGAAATATTGTGTGCTTTGCTCATCTACCTTAATTTGGTGAAAACCATCTCGTAAATCGAGAAGGGTGAAAACACGCTTATTTCCAAGAAGAGCGATACAGTCTTCTATTACTGGAAATGGATACTTTTGTTTGATAACGCGTTGATTAAGAGGACGTAAATCCACGCATAGGCGCATACGGCCGTCTTTCTTTCGTACCGGTACAACGCGCGCACAATACGGCGAGTTACTTCTTTTAATAATGCCTCTTGCTAGAAGGTCATTAGTGATCTCTCGCATCTGTAATTTTTCCTGATATGCGAATCGTCGCGGAGCGTACGCGAAAACCGACGCATCCTTTAATTTAACCGTGACTTTATAATCGTCGTCAATTCGATCGACGCGCTTATTATCGATTTCTATTAACAAACTAGTCAGCTGAGCTGTAACTTCCTTATTAAAATGAGTGATAATTTCGCCATAACGATTTGAGTTGTCGTTAATCTCGGCACAGGCGAGAATCTGTTGTAATGACTTTGGGAACGCGCGCGGAGACGCGACAGCGTCGTCAGCTGTTTTCCCAATCGGGCGATATATTATTGTCAAGCCGTGTTTTTCTAAGAAATCGCGGCCTAGTATAAGATCCGTGGCGAGATTATCCTCGGCTAACACGTGCAGATTAACATCTAATTCGACGTCATCTATTTGTTTCAATGTGATTGTCGTTACAATCGACCCGTGTATTAACACCGGTAAGTTATTTACTGCTTTATATTCTACTTTTGGCGGGATTAACATATCAAAATTGTCCGTAAAAATTTTACAAAATACTGACGGTTTAACAAAAGATATGGGACTACCCGTGTCTAACAGCGCAGACATTTTACAATTAACCTTATTTAAGGCCGTAACCTCTAACGCAAGGTCGTGAATGTATAAATTCTTACTCTTAGGCTGGACATGTGCTATCGTCTGGTCATCCCTCACTGCGTCGACAGCGGAGACGGTGGTTGTCGGCGACGTGGTGGACGGTGTCGTAGGCGAAGCCTTGGCGATCGTCTGAAGCCGTTCTTGACGTCGTCGTTTAAAGCAGTTTTCGAACGTGTGTCCCGGGATCTTGCAGAATCCGCAGGTGTTCGATTCGTCCTTCTGAGATGTCGTTACTGGATGAGCTGATTTGCCACCTCTTCTGTAAGTGGACTCTTTTGCCTTTGCGGCCTTTGAATCCGTTGTGAGCCGCTTTTCCGGTTCCAATGTGACCGATGTAATTCTATGCATCGAGTCTAAGAATGAGTCGACGGATTCCAGGTCGAGTGCAGCTGCTGTCTCTCGTAGGGACCGACTGTTGATTCCACTGATCAGCAAATGAATAGCACTATCTGGAGATAGGTTGAGATCGTGCATCAGTGTCAATTTGTCCATTGCATATTCGAGGAAAGTTTCCTTGAAGCTGTTCCATTTTCGAACTTCAATTTTCTGCATGGCTACATGGTACAGGATTTTGCGAGTAAATCTCTTCAAGATCGCTTCCTTGAAGCCTAACCATGATTCGAGCATGGATCCTGATCCAATGTCATACCATCTCTTTGCCAGTTTAGTTAACTTGCTGGATGCGGCTAGCAAGGTAACATCTGACTGTACATTATGGATTCGGGCTACTTGTTCCACCCTTTGTACCCATAATTGCACATTTTCAGAATCCGATCCTCCAAATGTGGGGATCTGCGTCGCCAATAGCGTGACTGCATGAGCCGACGTAATCGTACCTAATGTAGTACGTTGAGAGGACGGGGATATTCCTCGTTCATTGGGCGATACCGCCTCTTGCATAAGTTGCATCGGTTGCCCTTCCGATGACTCGTTAGCAAGAGTGCCATGGTGGTTCAAGAGCGATTCCAGCATCTTGGACATAAGCTCCTGTTGTCGTTTCTGGCCTTCCAGAATATCCTGATGCATAGGGTTAACGACCGTAGCAATCAATGACGCTACGTCCGAAGAGACTTGCCAGGTCTGTACGGTAGTTGCTCCAGAGGGCTGTTGCCTAGCCGATGATGGTCCTGGTAATGTCCCATCACTCGTGGAACCCGTGATGTTCCCTGGCGTCACCTGAGAACTCCGTTCCAGGTACGTCATGATAGAATCGATCAACTTTTTGGAATCTTCGCACAGAGGCAGGTTGTACCCCTGAGCTACTTCTCGAAGTTGCTCGATCGTCATTTTGTCTAATTGTGATCTATTCATGATTATCAGAGTAATCTTTGCAGGTAATTCACAAATTTTCTTTGTTTGCTGCAGATCCTCTTCTTCGAAGAAACACGAAGTTCTCCTTTATTGTTTTGAAGTCGCGGACGCGGATGACTCGACCGAAAGCGCGGTTGACGCGAACACGACGAGTACGCGTGCCAACAACACAGATGACCTGAAAGGTCGTAGCA